TATTTCCAGTAGTGTTACATAAAATGTACGAAAGATTTTCTACATGTCATTGATGACAAACTTGTTCAAGTTATGTCCTTTAAGGAGAGAAGCAGTGAAATCGATGAAAAGCGAAAGTCGTTAAAAGTTTTTCTTGTTCAATTTCAAAATAACTATAAATATCTTTAGTTAATTCCCAGCACCTTTGAGGCGGTTGCGGACTCTCTGTAAGGAAGGAAAAATAAAGCACGTCAAATAAAAAGTCTTTCACTACGAAAAAGAGAAATCTTCAACTTTTTAATCAGATCCTACCTTGCCGTACAATTGTGCTCGCAGTCTATTTGTTCGGTAAAAAGCTTGTCGCTTCACTTGCTCATTTTTCGCTTTTACCTCAGGTAGATTCTTGTACAGTCTATAGGGGGAGGTGAAGAAACATGAAAGACGAAGATTAGATTGTCAAAGCGTACACCAGCGTCAAAACACCGCGTTCAAACGAAACCAGCGGCGAGGTTAAGGTTTGCACCAAAATAAAATGCACAAGGATTGTTTCAGATGTTTAAATTTCTCTTGAGATGACTGTGATATCCAAAGGAATTTTAAACAATGAATAAGCAAAAGATTGTAGTTCAAAAGAGGGGTTTCATTGGCACTGCGAAAGAGGAGAATATAGACGGGGTGGGCCTGTCCCTTGCACGGTGCGAATACAATGACTCTCAAATGAAGTCATTTTTTAATTGTTCTAAAAATGGAGAATTCCCTGGGTAACTTGATTCAAAAGTAGTAGAGGAACTTTTAGTCGTGATGAACAGTATGCAAAAAGAAACCCATTTTGTAATCTCCAGCTCAGAGCCCGCGAGCGGCAGCCAGCTTCCTGGGTGCTGACAACGGGGAAAACAAGTTCTAGCCCTAGGAGTTCAAACGTTGGATAGCGCTTTCAATCGAATAAATAACTATCTAGCGGATAAACATTAGAGAAACAAATTGCGCTATCCACTGGATAGAGATTTGACCAGCGGATATCGCTATCCACCTTTTGAACAAACTCTGCCCTGGCGACAAGACTACAGGTCTACTAAAGTTAATCAGTTTAATTCATTTTGTAAAAGTTCCTCAGCTGATTTACCTTTTGTTCAATTCTTTTATCTCTGCTCGAGTCATCTGCCTTGGTTTCGGTACATGAAGTTGATCTAAAGACGGATTACAAAAAGTTTGAATCATAGTATAATGTAACACAAATTTAAGCACCATACCTCCAACAGCTCTTCAAGCGGATAAAATCTTCAAGGTCGTACAGGAAATGTTTTGACTATCAATGGCTAATTTCAAGAAAGTGCACAACAACTTTATACATAATCATGGAGTGATTTTTAAGGAAGTTTAAATCAATAAACCGCAGGCGGAGGGTAAGAAGAGGCTACCGCTTAAATGTTCTTTACACTTTTTTAAAATTTCGAAGTTCTGGTAAGGGACGTAAGATCATTAAATAGAATGCATAAAACTCAATTTGACCACGCGCGTTTCGACCTTCTACCCCCCGTAATCTGATCACGCGTGTTTTGACCATCTGTCACGTGAAACTTACGCAAAGCACAGCGTTGGAGCAAAAGCGTTTGGACCTTCGATACGTTGTCGCCTTCACTCCCTAACCTTTGGTTAGTACTAGTTCGAGTAAATACGGTACTGTTAGTCTTCAGGCGATGAGGTCTACTACAAGCTTAGCGACAAGAAAACAACAGCCTCACTCACCAGCACCCTTTACACGCGGCTTGAACTTAGGAGAAACAACATACTCCAGACGTTTTGCTCTCTGAGCCTCTGCGATCCTGTTTTCCTCTGCAGCAGTTTCTGCAATCATTTTACGTCTGTCTTTCTCTCGTGCAGCCTGTTCAATTCTTGCCACTCTGTCCTGTGAACGCTTCACAAACTGAGGTCGTGCGTACAAAAATGCCTCTTGAAGGCTAAGTTTCTGAAGAGAAGGGGACGGATTGACCGCAGAATCGAACACATCCACTCGTAATTCATCACTAGTGCGACTTCTACTCGGCGTCTTCAAATTTGTCTCCGTTCTTTTTTCCGTCTGCGTTTTGCTCGTCAAAGGTAGAAACCAAGTGGGAAGTGGTCCCCTACGTGTTCTGTCCGAACTTCTTTGGGCACCGTGGCCCGGAGAGTTCTGACTGGCTACCAATCGATCTTTCGGTTTATGCTTAGATTCTCGCTGGTCCACTCGGTATATGAGATCTGACTTTGAGGGCGAGGGCTGAGAAATAACTCCAAACTCTTCGGCATCTCTAAGAGGACTCTTGGCTGACTT